GGTTAACAGCTTAATGTGATGCTGTAAAGGTCAAAGGTTAACAGCTTGATGTGATGCTGTAGAGGTCAAAGGTTAACAGCAGAATGCTACACACGGTGAAAGTGAAACAGACAAAAACATTTGTGTAAACCTCTTTATGTTTCTAACACTGTAAACTTTCAGGTCAGATAAAATAACTCTTATACAAATAAAAATAAGTCGAAAGGTTCGGTATCAGTTCTGAAACAAACCGTTAACAACATTTAACTTCAAAACAATAAACTAAACATTTTAAGTCTAAAACTTTTATAAATATTTGAACTTTAGTAACATTAAACTAAACCTGATGATCGACAGAGAACTTGCTGTCGCCGTCAGTCCAACAGAACCGGGTCAGAACCACACAGCTGTCAGACGCGCTGAGAACGAACACCGGAAGTTAGCCCGCTACACGTCCGGTTCTACGCTTCACAATAAAAGCGTTAACTTCCGTTTTGAGTCTTGTTTAAAAAGACAGATCGTTATCACCCGCCACAGAAAGGAGAAGGCGGGCGATTGTGTTTTGTTTGTCTTTTAAAAAAATATCTAATGAATTCCTTAAGTTTAATAAAACTTTGGGTAAATTAATCTTTGAATTAACATTTAACAATTAACTACCGTACCCACCACTGCACCCAGTATTCACTGGTTAACTGGTCACCATTAACTTCACACAGACTCTCCCACTGGTACATTTTCATCTTTAAATCACTTCCTGGTCTGCTGCCTTCATACATCTCCTCCTACATGTCTCTGTGTGAGTGCAGCTACGGCGTGCGCTCTCAGGACATCATTACCTGCAGTGTTCCCTCAGTGAGGACTGAACTAGACAAAAGGACCTTCTCCTACTCCGCTCCTGTTTCCTGGAATATCTTGTAAAAAGACTTGAAGCTCTCGACCTTTGACCTCTCTAAGTGGCTTCAAACATCTGCTCAGTTCCTTAAAAACCAAGACATGTTCCTGTTTAGTTTTTTACAACGCCTTATAATGTAGCTGTTTTTTGTTTTGTTTTTATATAATTTCTTCTATTTACTTTTCATTTTATATGCTTTTTATACGACTGTCTATTGTTGTCTGGCAAAAGAAAACCTTACAAGACAGTGGAGATACCAGCTCTGTTGTCTGGAGACAGAGACATGGACAAAAAGACAGGAGACAGAACTGGAAGTGTCAGAAATGAAGATGTTGAGGTTCTTCTTAGGAGAGACAAGGATGGAGAAGATCAGGAATGAGATCATCAGAGGTACAGCACAGGTTGAACAACTGGGAGATAAAGTTAGAGAGGACACACAGAGATGGTTTGGACATGTCCAGAGGAGGGACAGTGGTTTGGACATGTCCAGAGGAGGGACAGTGGTTTGGACATGTCCAGAGGAGGGACAGTGGTTTGGACATGTCCAGAAGAGGGACAGTGGGTATATTGGTAGAAGGATGTTAGAAATGCAGCTGCAGGAAAAAGACAAAGAGGAGACATATGGATGCAGTTAGAGAGGACATGGAGGTAGTTGGAGTGAGGACAGAGGACACAGAGGACAGAGTGAGATGGAGGAGGACTTCCTGTGGAGACCCTGAAGAGGGAAAAGCAGAAAGAAGAAGTCTCTTGTTGTCTGCACCTCGTGTGTTCTTTGTTAAACCAGGTCTCTCTGTAAACGAGTCTTCGAGGCTCAATGAGACTCACCTGTAGAAATAAACTGAATAAAAAAACATGTAAGATTTTCATCTTAAAGTACAGATCAGTGAAAGTTTTCAACAAACGTAGTTTTATTATTTATTCACAGAGAACATCCAGGACAACACATCAAAAGATTGAGTGTTTTTTATGGGATGTAGCTTTAAAATGTGATTTATTTATTGAGAAACTTGTTTTTGTCACAGATTTGTGCCGTTTAATAAGTTTAAATCTACTGAACGCTGCGAGTCGTCATCAGATTTAAAAAAAAAAAAACAGTTTTTCTCCAAAAACTAAAAAGAAAAAGTGAAAGAAAAGCAGGAAACCAAGCGTGAACACCAAAATAAAAGTTTTTTGGCGTTGGACTCTTCTTCCAGCGCCGCCTCTCAGGGGGTCTCAGGTCTGAGCTGGTTCTGGTTGAAGTCAGGTGATCCGGGTCCAAGCAGAGAGCTGCCGTCAGCCTCCACCTACAGGTGTCAAAGGTCAAAGGTCATAGAAGGGCATTCAACACTGCTGAGTCATGATGTGAGTCAGCAGTTTCCGTATCCGTCCCATCAAAACAAGTTGAACAAACCAAAGCTGCTTCGGCTGACTTCCTCCTCCGAGTTTAATCCTTCAAATTAAATCAGATTCCACTGGTCCTTGGGGGTCAAAGGTCAAATCTAATGTTGCTTGGGATCAAAGGTCAAATCTTATGTTGATCGGGGTCAAAGGTCAAATCTTACGTGGTACTGCGAACTTTGAGGCGTTAAAGATTTATTTAAAGCAACTTTTACTCTGTCAAACAACAAAAACTATTTTTATTGTCAACGAGGAGAAATGTTCATTTACTGATTTAATCTTTGTTTTTTTAAACAGCAGCTGAATCTTTGTTTTCTTCCTGAATTCAGTTCAAAGTTCTGGTGTCAAAAGCGGACCGAGACACTCCCACACCCAGAAGAACCACCAGAGACGAAGGACTCTCTTACCTTCATGGAGGAGTAACGCTTGCGGCGCTGCAGGATCTTCCCGGACAGAACGCAGACGGTGACGGACACACAGACCTGAAGGACGAGCAGAACCAGGAAGAGGCCCTGAAGTCCGTACAGAACCTCCTGAAACATCAAACGTCATTAGAAACAATTGGTTTCAGAACATCGTGGAAAAAAAGGATCCAACGGTTCTGGATCTGTTCGTCAAAGATGGACTTTGAGCTGATCAACAAACGGACAGAGTTTATTTTGCTACAGGATCTAGAAGTTAAAGATGTGAGGGAAAAACTGGACCTCAAAGGTCCAGAACCAGCCGGGAGCTGCTGATGAACAGAACCACCTTCACCTGCAGCACACAGGTATGTTAACACCACACCAAGATGGAAAGAGATCAGCAATGAGCTCAAAGAAGCAGCTGCTGAGAGAAAACCTGTGAGGGTTCTGCTGTTGAAGGAGGTTCTGCTGGATCAGAGACCAGAACCAGTTCAGGTCTTGGTGCTCCTAACAGGACCAGAGAGGAGATCTGGACTTACGTTGGCCATGTAGAGTCCACTGGGGCAGATGGGCCTCGGCTCCCTGGCGTAATTTTTCTTTTGTCTGTACCACCACCTGTAGGAGAAGGTGGTGGGGGCGAGGCTGGTGGTGGGGGCGGGGCTGGTGGTGGGGGCGGGGCTGGTGGTGGTCATGTCTCGGGTCAGGTAGCTGCAGATCATTTCGTAGGGGGAGGTCTGAGCGAACAGCAGGCAGAGGTAGACCACGCCCACCAGGCCCAGCAGGACGCTGAGGACGTTGGACACCGCAGACACAGTGACCTGCAGGGACAGAGACAAAAACTGATCCTCAGTCAGCTGGACACACGTCCAGGCTTCTGGGGTCACCGACTTTCTTCACTTTCTTCTGGACAAACTGCAGTGAAATTAACGATAGATGTTCCACGTGAGGAAACGCCGGCTCATTTTAGGTTGTTTATTTCTACAACATCAACATGGCAGCTGATCCGGCCTCAGCAGGTGAATCGCGCACGTGTATTTGACCATTTGTATGTGCAGTTTGAAACATGGACATTTGAAGATTGTTTGTGCTATTCAGCGGATCTTTGGTACGTTTGTGTGAATAATTCATCTCTACGGCCGAGCGCTCCCTCTCTCCCAGGAGAAACCAGGAGTTGGGTGACGTGCACGAGTTGCACGTGTCTGTACGACGACGCTCCAAACATGTTAATGACTAAAACAAAGTCAGATTTTAGATGAAAGTCACGGGGAGTTGAGGGAGATGTGTCAGTCTGGCGTCTCCCCCAGCTCCGGTACATTGGTCACATGTGAAAACAATTATGTAAAGACGTTTATTATGTCATGACCTTCATGGGGGGGTTGTTAAATAACAAGTGTCCTTCTTGGATAACGGAAGGAGGAGCCCAGGTTTATCAGCGACGCAGGCGAGGTTTGTTTGAGGTGTCTGAGTCCAGCAGGGATCATTGTGCTCCTGACCACCCGGATCCCTGAGAGTCAGGGAGCAGGTCCCCGCCCAGCTCTGCTCTGATTGGCTCAAACCGTGGCTCTGGTTCTGTTTACTGG